TTTATCCTCGAATGCATACAACCGTGCTGCCACGCATCTTGTTTCGATACACCGATAAATCTGCAGCCGAAATTCGGCCAACAAAAACAACTTTTTTTGTTTTCGGAAAGCCGAAAATGTCGGAAGGTATTGCACATCACCTGTTGTGCTGTTCAGCCATTTCGTGTTGTTAATTACATTTCTCGGCTGTGAACCTACGCTATTACACGGCGGGCTCCTCCAGGGTATGGTATAAAGTATTTTAAAGGGTATCCTAAAACGTATTCTAGAGGATATTCTATGAAGTATATTCAAGGTATGCAGAAGCCATATTACCCAGGCAGTCTTCTGTAAGGTATTCTTCCAGGTGGTATTCGGGCATTCTATAAGTAGTCTATAGGGTACTCCATAAGGTATTGTACAAAGAAGAGTGCACCCTATAGGGCATTCTATATGAAAATCTTTAAAGTACATAGCGGAGGAACTCTATAAGGTAGTTGCAAATCTTTTCTTCTTGCTTCTTGGGATTCTCCATAGGAATCCCATACCCAAAAGCTACGATTCAACTGGGGACTTCCCAGATCTCGGGCTCCGACTTGTTTTCCATTTTTGAAATCCCTATCTATAGAGTACTTTATAGGGGATTTTAAAAGGTATCCTAAAAGGTATTGTATATGTATTCTATACGGCATACATAAAGTATCATAAATAGGCGGTCTTATATAAGGTATTCTACAGGGTATTCCTACTGGTATGTTGTAAGGTATATGAAGGGAATCGGGAGATCTTGGTCTACAAGGTATTTTAGAAGGTATTCTATAAGGTATGTATAGGAGAATTGAATAAAATATGTTGTTCTCAATATGTACACCTTACTAAATAAGTTTCATATAAACCCCTTACCCAATAAACTACATTTCAACTGGGGAACTCTCAGATCTTGAGCTCCCCTTGATCGTTATTCTAGACGGTGGTCTTTTGGCTATAGGTTACTCAACAAGGTATATGAAAGGTATATAGGGGGTAGTCTACAAGGTATTACCGAATCGTATTTGAGCTTCTTTAATGTTTGTGGGAAGAGTATTTTGTAAGGTATTCTACAGGCTATTCTCCTTGATTCCTCATTTCTCTCATAGAAATCCCTTGCTCAATAAGCTAGAAGATGTTGGGCTCCTCCTGATTTCTCCTTATAAATCCTTGTCCATAGGGTCTCGGTTCGCGTATACTAAAGGGGATGTTCAAGGGTGCATATAAGGTATACAGGGGTATCACGTATAGGATTTTCTATAATTAGGCATTCAATAGAGTACCGCAGATGGTATTCTATAAGGCTTCTGTAGGGTATATCGAAGAAAAACAAGGTATTCCATGAGGCATTCTATAAGATATCATATAGGAAAGAATTCTACAAGGTATTGAATTCCAGACGGTATATACAGGCTATATTATAGAATACATTCTATATGGTATTAGCTCGGGCGTTCTGTATGAAATTCTTGAAGATATATAGAGGGTATCCTATACGGTAGTTTAAAGGCTATTCATCTACTAGATTTCCTTTATAGGAATCAGTTTCAACTCAACTGGAAATTTTCCGTGTGCTGCAAGAGATCAGTCGGCTTGGAGTCACCCTTGATTGCGTACAGCTGCGCACCCATCACATGTGCCTTTTCATTAGACCCTTTTGATAAGGACTCATTGGCTCAAAAGTTCGGCTGGAGGGGAACTGAACGGACCAGGCGGTTTGCTTTAAGCACCACCCCCCAAAACCGATTGATTGATGTTCATGATGCTCGCTCTGGCCGCGGCTGATGCCCATGCTTTTAACTGCCCCAGGTTGCCAGATTCCAGACTTCCAGATTGACAAGCATCATGCATTTCCAAGACTGACAGGCCCCAAGATTCCGGATTTGCATGCCCCAAGTTTCCAGATTCCAGAGTTGCGAGGATTAACAAACTTAGCAGAGTCCAAGTTACCAGATTCAGATTTATGGAAATCTGGAATTTCTGGAAACTTAGAGCGTGCAAATCTGGAAATCTGGAACCTCTGGAAATTTAGGGCGTGCAAATCTGGAATCTGGAAACCTACGTCCTGCAGGAGGCCGGTGTCGGCATGATGTCATTGCTATGCGCTCACGAAGTCTTGCTGTAGTTATGTGATCACAATGCCTAGCATGACCGTACCGTGCCAGACACTTGTTGACGACACGAATATTTTGACATTACGGGTTTGTTCAAGTAGTGTCTTGGAAAGAAGCAAGACGCCGCAATATTGCGATAGAACCTTCATGGCGACATAGCCTCAACACTGCATACCAATACTCGATAGAAACATACTACATGTTCTGCCAACTGTATTATGCCGGCTCCATAGCACCCGCAAGAGGATTGACTTGCCGCAGGGCTCGGAGAGAAGGGAAAGTTTAGGCAAACGGCCATTGAACCGAAAACCGGTGTAATTGACGCCGAACCACCTTTAACAACGCACGCGTGAAGACAACAAAACCCTGCTGCCGTCATCTTGTTCGCATCTGATCGGACCACAAATGACCAGCAAAGTAGTGGGGAACTGCAGCGTAGACGCATGCACAAAAGCAGTGCGTGGTTTTGAACACAATTCATCTAACATTAACTAACATGGCAGTTCTACAATGCGATAGCAGCAACCTCTTCTGACCACCGCTAAGCCGCTTTAGCCCATCTGTCAGTTCCGAACATACAAGCAACAGACCATCGACATGCTTCAGATATCGACCGATACTGGCGAGCACATTCGACAAACTCTCCTTTGTACCCGTCAGCGATGGATAGTGGAAGGAGCCGTCGTGTTGTAGTCATGCATCACACCCTACCTCCTTTGTCGAACTCTCAAGCCCTCTGTACCCAACGGAGATATGTATCCATCCCTTAAATGTTTGTACCTTCACCCGACATAGCCAACTACGACGACGACTACTACTACCACTACTACTACGACGACTACTTCGACTACGACTACGAGTACCACTAGCATTACTACTACTACTACTACTACTACTACTACTACTACTACTACTACTAGTGCGTACTACTGCTACCGTTACTGCTATTGCTACTACTGCTGCAACAACTCCAACCATAACTACTTACAACTACTAATTACTAATACTGATACCACCACCACCACGACTACTACTAGCACTACCACTAGTACTACCACTAGTACTACTACTGCTACTACTACTACTACTACTACTACTACTACTGCTACCGCTACTGCTATTGCTAGTACTGCTGCAACAACACCAACCATAACTACTTACAACTACTAATTACTAATACTAATACCACCACCACCACGACTACTACTAGCACTACCACTCGTACTGCCACTAGTACTACTACTACTACTACTACTACTACTACTACTACTGCTGCCACGTACTACCGCTACCGCTACTGCTATTGCTACTACTACTGCTGCAACAACACCAACCATAACTACTTACAACTACTAATTACTAATACTAATACCACCACCACCACCACGACTACTACTAGCACTACCACTAGTACTACCACTAGTACTACTACTGCTACTACTACTACTACTACTACGACGACGACGACTACAGCACCCCCACCACCACCGCCACCACCACCACCATCACCACGACCACGACCACGACCACCACCACCACCAGGACCACCACCACCACCACCACCACCACCACCACCACCACCACCACCACCAGGACCACCACCACCACCACCACCACCACCACCACCACCACCACCACCACCACCACCCGGACCACCACCACCACCGCCACCGGAGGCGGGAGGGAGGAGGCAAACAGAAAGTCTTGATCCAGCCGAGCGGCGGGGAGGCTGGAGGACTGTGCTCGGTCATCACATGGCCGCAGCGTACCCTGTGCAGAAGCAGTGTCATCTCTGCGGTCTCTGCTAGTCACGACAACGATGGCAGATGGTTCTTTCTCGATAGTCTGATGTCGTTTGCACAGTGATCTGCCACACGCATCGCTTGCACTCACGGATCCGAGCCTGTCATCGGGCCCAGAAATTTAGGGGCCGTAACCGTCACATGACATGTCAGCGTGTTTGTAGAATTGAGCTTGCGCCAGCTCGATGTTGACCGAGCCATGTAAAGAGGTGGATGCTGGTTCTTGTTCATCATGCTGTCGAGTGCCGGGTCGACACCTAATCATCTGAAAACAGCCGGCCACTGCGTTGGCAGGCTGATTCGTCAGGAACGCTGTGAGAACTGAAGTCAAAGACAAAGCTCAGGCATCAGTCACCACCCTCCCTCACAAATCATCGTGGCATGCCGCGGCGTGAACTGTGTCGATTGCGCAGAGCCACAGCCAGGATATCCAGGATACTCGCTCTTTCCCTCTCACTTTCTTGCTTGCTTGCGTGCTTGCTTGTTTGCTTACGGCCGTAGGAGAGCGCACCCGTGCGCACGCCCCGCCATGCCAATTCGCGCAGCCGTGTTCCTGGTTTTCCAAGGGTTGCAGGTCACTGCTGACTCCCCGGCTCGGTGTGAGCAATTCCCCCCATTGCTGCCGACCAAGCGGAACAAGGGCAAAAGAAGGCAGCATGAGGGACCTCATTTGAGGTAGTCTCCCCCGTTGTCCGTAACAAACAAAGAGGCACTATGGTGTTCAAGCAAGGAAACGACATCGTCCAGGAGAGAAGGCATTGCTCAAAACTGCGGGTGGCTAGACGGTTCTCTACCTCCCTCGGTATCCACCAACAAGAATTCCGGAAGCGAGTGCACATAAGGCTTGGAGGACCGCCTTGTGTTGGCTGCAACTCAGATCTAAACACCCAGCCTCATCCCACCGAAAACACGCGAAACCTGAAAAACGCACTCACTGCCTTCGCCTCCCTGCCTGCCTGAACCAACCCCCTACGTCGCTTCCTAGAAGCCTTCCCCGGGCTCATTCTTTGCCAGCCGCTGGTCTCCCCAACTTCTTTCATCTGCTGCATAGTTGGTGATGACGTCGTAAAGGTGGGCGTTCTGTGCCGTTGCAGGGTACTCCCTTTGACCAAAAAGTCGCCACTGCGTTCCCCCTCCGCCTCTGGGGCTGCAGTCTCTAGTCCCCGTCGACCTCCAGATGTTGTTGTGTCCCCACTCGGGTTGTCTGGAAGGTTCGCGGTCACGCTGGTTCTCCTTTCTCGGTGGCGTCGTTCGCGGTGCTCAGAAGCTGTCCCCCTGGCGATGCTCACCTCCTGGTCCCCCGGTAGTGGTGGCAAGGCGGGTCGGGAGTTCAAAATCTTGCGAACTTGTTCAGCACTCAAGCCCGGCTGTCCGTGCCAGCGAACTTTGCATGCCGACCAAAGCACGAACGCGTCGAAGGGGAGCTCCACCATTGAGTTCGTGGGGGAGGCTGTTCTCTCTTTGCTTTGCTTTGC